ACCTGATGTAAATGACGAGTTGATGGGTGCAGCACACCAACATGGCACAAGTATACATATGTAACAAACCTGCACGTTATGCACATGTACCCTACAACTTAAAGTATAATAATAATAAATAAATTAAAAAAAAAAATAACCACAATATATAAAGAACTTAAAACAATTTAGTAACAAAAAAGAATCCTACTACAAAATGGACAAAATATCTGAATGGACATTTTTTAAAAATGACATACAAATGGCCAACAGGTATATGGAAAAATGCTCGATACTACTATCATCAGAAAAATGCAAGTCAATATCATAATGAGGTATTGTTGCACCCCGGTTAAAATGACTACTATAGAAAAGATGGAAAATAAATGCTTGTGGGCATACAGATAAAGGGGAATGCTCATACAGCCTTGGTGGGAATGCAAATTAGTATAGCAGCTATGGAAAACAGTATGGAGGTTCCTCAAATAATTAAAAATAGAACTACCATATGATCCAGCAATCCCATGGCTGGGTATATATCCAAAAGAAAGAAAATCAGTATATCAAAGAGATATCTGCACTCCCACATTTATTGCAGCTCTATTCACAACAGCTAAGATATAAAATGGATGTAAGTATCCAACAATGGATAAATAGCTAGAAGAAAAGGTTTGGAATGTTTCTAACACAAATAATGATAAATGTTTGAGGTGATGAATATCCCAATTACCCTGATTTCATTGCTAAACATTGTATGCATGTATTAAAATATCACATGCACCCCATTAAAAATGTACAACTATCATGTATCAATACCCATAGAATACACAAAAAAGAAACAGAAAACATTGTAAAATATTTTAAATGACAATGACAATTAAATGACAATTAAAAATAATGTTAGCATATAAAGTTATTTTCTAAAACAATTTAGTAAGGAGAGTGGCACTGTTTTATAGTTCAACAAATTAATAGAAGGCAGCTGAATTACCATACCTGCTTCTGCATTCAACTTGCTGCATATGTTGTAAAATCTGGCTTCACACAGGTAGATATTTGGAAAAAAAGGGTATTTAATTGCTTTTTCAGATAATAGTGTGCTTTGATATTATACCAAACATTGATGAAGTAGTTGAAGGATCCTGGTTCTAAGTCAATTCTCATAAAAATTATCTCTTAAAACTATAACACAGTTGGAGCTCAATACCAAAAACTAACCAGGTCTCTGTACCATGGTTATTACAAATTTAAGATAAGCCTTCTAGAGCATGGAGTCATATTCCCCTACTTTCCTGCCCAAAGCATCCACGCCTGTTTCTTCCTCCAAGGCTTCAGGCTGCAAGGCAGAAGACAGAAGATCTCCTGGCCTCCATGAAACTTGGCTTATTTAGAAATTCATGGTTGGTAAAGTGTAGTTGGTTTTTCTTTTCACTCCTAGGCTAAACCCTGCATAGGTGTTTTAAAATAGGGTTCATAATTGAGTTCTCAGGTGAGACTGTGATTTTCTTCTCAAAGAAAAGAATTTTTTTCCCTATTAGATTAATCTATATATGGTTGTTTCTCAAAACTCAGAGGGTAATAAAGGAGGAGGCAAGATAGAATGTTTTATTGAAAGTAGGTTATGCAAACTTGGCTTGAAAGGTACTTATCATTTTAAAAATTATGCTTAATGATGCATCAAATACAAAAACATATAATACATCAATAGTCAACCTTTTCCCCATGAAGGCAAAGTTATTGAGAAATGTTTATTTTTCCTCTTGAAATGGCTAATCCAGTTAACAATATGATAGCAGATGGAAAATTCACATTGCTTCTTTCATTGCTTCTGTCCCTTAAACCTGTTAATCTTTCAGAACCACATTACTGAGGTGCTGGCCTGTGTATGGAAACAGAATGATATCCAGGTCTTACAGGTCCAGGGCCCAGTGGACAGACAGGCCCTGGTCCTCCACGCTGGCCACCATGTCTTCGATGGCATTCCAGTCCAGCTTGCTGAGGATGCTGCCAGTGCTCTCAGACACGCTGTCCATGCCGCCCACCCCAAAAGAATGCTCTGGCTCTTCCTCTTCAGTTGGAGACAAGTCCTATTGAATTGAAAAGATAGTCAGTTGTGGTCCTAGCCCCTAAAAACAAACAGAAAAACAAAAACAAAAAAACCTGGAATGTGAACTAAGCTTTCAAAAATTCTAGAGTTGTTCATCCATCAAAGGGCTGAAGGAAATGTGCCAGGAAATAGGGCTGTGATTGCCCAGCACATCCAGATGGACAAGAGCTGAACATCATCTCACACAACAAGATGCTGGCACTGGATTCAAAGACAGGGAAGAATGGATGTTGATACTTGTAGTACAATTTTATGTTCTTATATTTTGGTCATTTTTTAGTTAAAAAATACAGTCACAGAGAATTCTGAAAGATAAATGCTGGAGTACTAAGCCAAAAGGGAAGATGCTTTGCATCACGATTTCAAACTGACCTAACAACCTTTCAGTATTTCCACATCCCACAAAAAACAAACTAAAAAACAAACAAAAAACCTGAAGAACATAGAGCAATCACTAGACAAACAAAATCTAGAACAATGCTTACTTGTAGAAGGGAATTGTGGCTGTCATGAAGAATCTTACGGATTTCTGAAGGTATCGTCCAGGGACTCACCACAGTCTCCTCTCTCTCATACTCCACACACACCTGCTTGGTCTGAGGTGCAAGTCCAGCATTTCCATGTTTTTTTGTATGCTGCTGACTACGACACGGAGCATTAGAGCCTTTTAAGGGGTAAGAACAAAGCATACATTGGGATTGATTGATTGATTAACTCATTTGTTAATTGTGACTTTTATCATCAAAGCAAAGGTAGTCACATTTTAAATAATATTCAAATCATAAGGTCTGGATATGGTTCACTTTAGGGTTCGAACAATTCGTATCCTGTCAGTGTACGAGATGGAAAATGAATTCCAGCCTTCTTTGGATTTGAAAACTATTAGTAATTAATCTCTAAGACAAGAAAATTTAGTGAGGAGAGGCCACAGATATAACAGAACTGTGGAGAGGTCTTCACATCAAAGTTGGGTGAACTCTGAAACCTGTGCCTTCCCTGTCTTTTACGGATAGTCTTGTGAAAACTTCTTTTTTTTCTTTTTTGAGATGGAGTCTTGCTCTGTCTCCCAGGCAGGAGTGCAGTGGCGCGATCTCAGCTCACTGCAAGCTACGCCTCCCAGGTTCACGCCATTCTCCTACCTCAGCCTGCCCAATAGCTGGGACTACAGGCGCCCGCCACCATGTCCGGCTAATTTTTTTATATTTTTAGTAGAGACGAGGTTTCACCGTGTTAGCCAGGATGGTCTCGATCTGCTGACCTCATGATCCGCCCGCCTCGGCCTCCCAAAGTGCTGGGATTACAGGCGTGAGCCACCGCGCCCGGCCGTGAAAACTTCTTAGAAGCAATGCTTTGGGCTTCTTCACCCAGGCTTAATGCTTACAATCTGCCTTTGGGCAAAGGCATCACAGTGAATGTGGTGACAACACATTATGACCCTCTTTCTTCTTACTGCATGTATCAGTATTTGTTGAAAAGAAACTTTCATTCCAGCTAATGCCCAGAAGCAGCTTAGTAAACCCACAAACCAATAAGTTTTCTCCGCACAAAGCCCTAGAGGAGCCTACCTCACCTAACACAATGTTCCAAAGCCAGTGTCACAGCATGTTCTACCCTTCAAGATGATTTCATAAAGAAACACCCAAGACATGGGGCAAGATGGGAAGTAAATATAGATCCCAAACAAGCAGTCACGTGGCTCCCTGAAGCAGGAAGAAGAAGTAGGACAGTGCTGAAGTTTGGGCCCTCTTTGTCTTTTGTAACTCTACCAACCTTATGTACTTGAAGCTGAGGGTATCTCCAAGAAATAAAGCCCCCAAAACAATCACAGCACACACTTTGGCATTTAGTATGGGCTAATAAGCACTTTTACATTCAGTCCCTTGAACTCACCAGACATTCATGCCTGGTCTTCGGATTTTCTAACACACCTCTGCTTTCCCTAGCTAACTTCATTTAGTTCCATGGCTTTAAATATCACCTACATGCTGATAACTCTCTAAAACCTGTACCTCCAGTCTCATAAAGCTAACTGCCCCTTCTTAAAATCTTTGCTTGGATGTGCAATAAACATCTGAACTTTAACAGGTCCAAAACCACACTGTTAATTTTTACCCCTAAACTGCCCCATCCCAGGAGACACTCAGGTTAAAATCCAGTAGTTTATCTTTTTTTTTTTTGAGACGGAATCTCACTCTGTCCCCAGGCTGCAGTGTAGTGGTGCGATTTCAGCTCGCTGCAACCTCCGCCTCCCGGATTCAAGTGATTCTCCTGTCTCAGCCTCCCGAGTAGCTGGGATTACAGGCATTCGCCATCATGCCCAGCTAATTTTGGTATCTTTAGTAGAGATGGGGTTTCACCATGTTGGCCAGGCTGGTCTGGAACTCCTGGCCTCAAGTGATCTGCCTGCCTCAGCCTCCCAACCTGCTGGGATTACAGTCGTGAGCCACTGTGCCCTTCCTCATCCTTCTTTCTTATACATGTCCAATCATCAGCAAGTCCTAATTTTGTCTATCTTCAAAATATATCCAAATCAAACAGTTTCCCCAACTCCACTGTTAAAACCCTAGCCCAAGCAATCTATCCTTGTATGCCGTCTTCTTTTTTTCCACATGTTCTAAAACATAAATATATTATCTCTCTGCTTAATTGCCTAAAATGGAGTCTCACTGGATCTCAAGTAAAATCCAAACTCCTTGCCTTAGCCTACAGTATCTAGCCCATCTCTTCCACCATATCTCTCGTCACTTTTCCATATTGATCTTTTCTGTCATACCAACTTTGTTTCTGTACCAGGGCTCTGAACTTTCTGTTCTGCCTTATCTTTATATAACACTCTTACCAGAACTTTGAACTTCTGCCTGAAACTGTTTTGCCTTATCTTTACCTAACAATCTCCTTTTCATCATTCAAGATCTTCACTTCAACATCACCTTCTCTTTTTCTAAATTTTTATTTAATTTTTAATTTGCTTCATACTAAGAGCTGGAGTAAGAGTTTCACCTTCTCAAAGAGACCTTCAACCGTCCTTGCTAGAGTAGTTCCAACTAGCCAGCCTCATTCTCCCTTACCGATGTGCTGCTTTCTGTGTGTTGTTCATGAGTAACAGTGCCTGGTATGTTGTAGGAGCTCAATGGGCAGTTGCTGAGTGAATACTCTTCCTGACAGTTCTATGGAGAAAGCATTATTATGCCCATTTTGCAAATGAGGAAAGTTAGGCTTAGAGAGGTTATGCAATTTGCCCAAGATGATGGAGATGATCCACCCTAGAACCTGGGCTAATATATTAACTTTCTACTCTTTTTTGTGTTTTGAGACAGAGTCTCACTCTGTCACCCAGGCTGGAGTGCAGTGGCGTGATCTCACTGCAAGCTCTGCTTCATGGGTTCACGTCATTCTCCTGCCTCAGCCTCCTGAGTAGCTGGGACTACAGGTGCCTGCCACCATGCTCAGCTAATTTTTTTTTTTTTTTGTATTTTTAGTAGAGATGGGGTTTCACCGTGTTAACCAGGATAGTCTCGATCTCCTGACCTCACGATCTGCCTGCCTCGGCCTCTCAAAGTGCCGGGATTACAGGCGTGAGCCACCACGCCTAGCCTACTTTCTATTCTTTAGGGTGAAGGAATAATAATACCTAGAGGGCCCTTTAAGATCATCTTCATATCTATAAGTAAAATATGAATAGATCTATTAATTTGCATCCACAAGGTGGCAGCTTTCCAAAAGCTTCTTCCTGGATTAGTGCCAAAGGGAAGGGAGCAGTGGTATAGACAGCTTAGGGATTTTTCTTTTGACTAGCCCCAAGAGTCTGAAAAAGAAACAAAGCTAACATCATTTGGTAGCACCTGCCACTGTAATATCCAATGTGAGAGCTATGCTCTAGTTGAAAAGGTTTGACATTTTTTCTGCTACTTAAAGACATCAGAGAGTATTTTGAAATGCCACTGAAAGTCCCATGTTAAAATAATTCAGTAAATTATTTTTCAGTAAATATTATTCAGTAAATAATTATTTCAGTAAATATTTCAGTAAATATTAATAAGGAACAAATTATGAAAAACCTTATAAAGGAAAAAAATCTACAAGCAGATGACAGGAATGCATATGAGAACAAATACTGTGGTAAAAAAGAAAACAGTCGTTAAAACAGAAAAAGTGAGACTGAAAGAGAAACCAATGAGTGGTTAAGCAACACAACCACAAGAGTAGGCTTCCACTTCAAAGCAGATGGGAACAAGTGGAGGTGGGGTGCTGAAGTATCCTTCAAGTATTCATGATATGACTAGAGATCAGCAAAGACTACAAACATCAACTAATCCCAACCCCATCTTGGCTACAATTAATTTGGTATCTAGACATTGACACTTTTGTTTTGTCAAATGAACATGATTATTGCCAGCTAGAAAGAATGACAAAATCAAACCACTACCTAGTCTACTAAAATTACAGTTAAGAGTCTTGCATTTTAGGATAAATCTTCACCTATGGGGTATTACAAACCTTGAGAGGCTATCACTGGGTTTCTCTCACCTTGCTTTACCTAGAGATGGTTTTGTAATTTCCTTCCTTTCAGATCATAATGCATTTTTCTAAGGTTTATCTGGGATATCCAATTTGAGATAAAAATATAATATGATTGGGAGGCCGAGACGGGCGGATCACAAGGTCAGGAGATCAAGACCATCCCGGCTAACACAGTGAAACCCATCTCTACTAAAAAATACAAAAAACTAGCCAGGCGAGGTGGCGGGCGCCTGTAGTCCCAGCTACTCGGGAGGCTGAGGCAGGAGAATGGCGTAAAACCGGGAGGCGGAGCTTGCAGTGAGCTGAGATCCGGCCACTGCACTCCAGCCTGGGCGACAGAGCAAGACTCCGTCTCAAAAAATATATATATATATATATATATAAAAAATATGAGAAAATTTCTGTGAAACTGAGCATGCATAAGTCTTTTTGAGGTAAACTGTCCTGCCCCATTGGACAGTGAAAGCTTTCTAGAGTGAAAGGTAAGTTACAGATCAAGACAACACCCCACAGCAGAAACCAGGCTGCCAAGTACACTGGCTTCCCTCAGAAAGGAAGTACTCTTTCTCTAAGATGATGGGCACTGACACTCAGTTTCTTTATAACATAACACCAAACAGTGTCTACAGAGTCTAGCCTGAGAAATCTGAAACTGGATGATAAAACTAAACCTATTACCTCCACCATTCCCAAAGAAAATCCTGCTTCTTTTCTTGCTCTACTTGTGTCAATTTGTGGGTCACAGTCTATCTAAGCACTTAAGCTAGAAACTTGGAGTCATACACATTTCTAACTTTCAGAGGCAGGGTTACCATTGAACAATGAAACAAGTATGTACAGCTTTCTATGGGCAAGGCCTCATGTTACATTATAATGACCTCAAGAACACAAAACCCTGGATCTCTGGGACTTTCAAAAACAAAACAATATAATGGTACAAGTAATTTCAACTGTTTTGAGAGGTAACATTGTATTTGGGGAACATTTTATCTGTTGAACTAGACATTGCTAGATATTTGCTTTGAAAAGAATAAAAAGCTATTGAGTACTCTAAACTAGAAAATAATTCATAATGGATAAAAAGGAAAGACTGAAAAAGAGAAAAGCTAGCATGGGATTTAGAAGCTGATAAAGTTTGGCTGTGTCCCCAACCAAAACTCATCTTGAATTGTAGTTCCCATAATTCCCATGTGCTGTGGGAGGGGCCAGGTGGGAGGTAATTGAATCATGGGGGCAGTTACCTTCATGCTGCTGTTCTTGTGATAGTGAGTTCTCATGAGATCTGATGGTTTTATAAAGGGGAGTTCCCCTGAATATGCTCTCTTGCCTGCCACCATGTAAGACTTGACTTTGCTTCTCCTTTGCCTTTTACCATGATTGTGAGGCCTCCATAGCCATGTGAAACTGTGAGTCCATTAAACCTCCCTTTTAAATTACCCAGTCCTGGGTATGTATTAGCAGCGTGAGAACAGACTAATACACAAGCACAGGAAATGATGCTTTGAGGATTCAAATTGATCCAAATGACCAGAAACTTGGGTTTTAATGCGTACATGGGGAAAAGAGTAGGAAAAGTATCAAATACATCGTCTAGAAAATACAGCCATAGACATTCAAAAGTTGATAAATGAGTTAAATAATGGATTAGACATAGGTAAAAAGAGATGGGGTAAACTGAACGACGGATCTGCAAAGTAATGAGCTAGTAGTAGAGAAAGAGGCATAATACCAAGCCTAGGCTAATTACTTCGTATTTCTCATCATTTTTCACAGTACATATAAATTAGTGGGGTTTGTTTTGTTTTGTTTTGAGACAGAGTCTCACTCTGTTGCCAGGCTGGAGTGCAGTGGTGCAATCTTGGCTCACTGCAACCTCCACCTGCTGGGTTCAAGCGATTCTTCTGCCTCAGCCTCCTGAGTAGCTGGGACTACAGGTGCATGCCACCACGCCCAGCTAATTTCTGTATTTTTAGTACAGACGGGATTTCACCATGTTGGCCAGGATGGTCTCGATTTCTTGACCTCGTGATCCACCCGCCTTGGCCTCCCAAAGTGCTAAGATTACAGGCGTGAGCTACCGCGCCCAGCCAAATCAGTGGGTTTTTAAAAAATAATTACCCCTACCAAATTTAGTTCTGTTCTTTCAATAGGGGATAACTGCACAGATTTCGTTGGGTTTAATGTGAGGATCAAGTGAGATAATGCACATGAGGTGTGAACATAATGCCTGGCATAGAGTAAATGCTCTATACCTGTTAGCTACTATTGTTATTGTTTTAAGGAGATCTGAACAGGTCATTTAACTTCTCTATGTCTGTTCTCATAGTAAGATACAGATAATAGTTAAACCCTGTTCACCTACCAAGGTAGTTACATATATCCTCACTACTATAATCTGTATTTTCCAGGTGAGAAAATTAAGGATACATAAATGGGTTAGAAATTTGTGTAAGGTTATAGAGTAAGTGGTTAACTTGATTCCATAAAGCTACTCCAAAACTTCCTCTCTGAACCACTGCAGCACAGAGTCACACCATCCATTCTGAAATCTAGATTTGAAATTGAGTGATTTATAATTTTTAAAAATTTAGTATTAAGGGCCAGGCACAGTGGCTCATGCTAAAGCCCAGGCATAGTCACAGGACTTTGGGAGGCCAAGATGGGTAGATCACCTGAGGTCAGGAGTTCAAGACCAGCCTGGCCAACATGGCAAAACCCCATCTCTACGAAAAATACAAAAATTAACTGGATGCGGTGGTGGGCACCTGTAATCCCAGCTACTGGGGAGGCTGAGGCAGGAGAATCGCTTGAACCCAGGAGCCGAGATCGCGCCATTGCACTCCAGCCTGGGCAACAGAGTGAGACTCTGTCTCAAAAAAAAAAAGAAAATTTAGTATTAAGTCTGAGAACTTTATCTTCTTTATCCCTTACCTTTTCGGAAGGTAACTGGAGACTGCATAGCCTTTCTTACTGATGCTTTGGCTCCACCAGCTTTTTTCTGTATGGTGAAAGTGGCAGTTCCTGTATAGACAAACATTATTAACCTTCCATAGGCATTCATTATTTTTATATATAGTGAGTTATTTGAGGACAGACATCTTCTCCTGATCAGCTCTGAATCTGCTCACCAAGACCTATTCACAGTAGGGGCCCAATAAATGGTGGCTGGTTTGAACCAAGGCGGCAAAACATAAGTGCAGACAAAGAAAGGGAACACTCTGCTTTGACACCTGGTATCCTTCAAGCACAGCCATACTCTTGTTTCAAACGGCACATGTGTTTTGACGTTTCTGGCAACTGGAAAAGCTAGGAACATAATACACCTCTTAGCAGTAAACACCTAGACAAAATGCCAAGTTAAATTTTATCAACAGAATGATTAGTTTCTTAAACTCAAAGATTAATAACAATCATTTACTTCCATGTTATGCAATATGTTCTCTTATTAATATAATCCTCAACAACTCTGTGAGGTAGGTTTCAGATAACTTATCTGAGGGCAAAAATCAGCAGCAGAGCTGGGATATAAACCTAAGTTCAGGGGATTTTAAAACTTAGACTTTTATTTCTTTTTTTTTTTTTTTTTTTTGAGATGGAGTCTCGCTCTGTCACCAAGCTGGAGTACAGTGGTGCAATCTCTGCTCACTGCAACCTCCGCCTCCCAGGGTCAAGCAATTCCCCTGCCTCGGCCTCCCAAGCAGCTAGGACTGCTGGTGCGTGGGCCCGGCAACTTTTTTGTATTTTTAGTAGAGATGGGGTTTCACTATGTTGGCCAGGATGGTCTCGATCATCTGACCTCGTGATCCGCCTGCCTCAGCCTCCCAAAGTGCTGGGATTACAGGCATGAGCCACCATGCCCAGCTGACTTTTACTTCTTTATGCCTAAGATGCTTCTCGGTTACTAATCACATAATCTTTGTACTGTAGTTGACAGAACTAAACATAAAACAAGCAACAATAACACAAACTACTCCTGGCCAGGCATGGTGGCTTATGCCTGTAATTCTTGCACTTTGGGAGGCCAACGTGGGAAGACTGCTTGAGTCCAGGAGTTTGAGAACAGCCTGGACAACATGGCAAGACTCCGTCTCTACGAAAAAATTTAAAAATTACCTGGATGTGGTGGTGCTCACCAGTAGTCCCAGCCATTCAAGAGGCTGAGGTGTCTAACACACCACTAGGCACGGTGGCTCATGCCTGTAATCCCATCATTTTGGGAGGCCAAAGCTGGCAGATCACTTGAGGCCAGGAGTTTGTGACCAGCCTGGCCAACATAGTGAAACCCTGTCTCTACTAAAAAATACAAAAATTAGTTGGGCATGGTGGTGTGAGCCTGTAGTCCCTGTTACTCCGAAGGCTGAGGCAGGAGAATTGCTTGAACCTAGAGGGCAGAGGTTGCAGTGAGCTGAGATCACACCACTGCACTCCAGTCTGGGTGACAGAGCAAGACTCTGCCTCAAAAAAACAAACAAACAAACAAAAAACAGAAACAAAAAAAGGCTGAAGTGGGAGGATCATCTGAGCCAGGGAGGTCAAGGTTGCAGTGAGCCATGATCACACCACTGCACTTCCATCTGGGTGACAGAGTGAGTTCCTGTGTCAAAACAAACAAACAAACTCCTAACAGTATGGAAGCAGGGCTGAAGAAATTAGCCAAAAACTACATACTGCTTCACAAGATAGAAAGCAACATACAGTCAAACTCCCAAGTACATTAAGAAAAACTCTTCATTTACAAATGAACTGCAGTGCATTTGAAAATCTTGATGGAGCCTCACCTCCCCACATGTGCAGTGACTTAACTTGACCTATGTGAGTTCAGGTTATCTGTATCACTGACTAGGAAAAGGTCTGGAATCAGTCTTGCCTGGGTTTCCCTTCATTCTCCCAAACACTGGGGGACCTGAAACTTCTGAATGTAGCCAGGTGAAATGGTTGGGTCTGGGTGTGACAGAGGCCACAAGAACAAGGGGAGCCACAGCCTGCTCTACTGAGGCAGAGAAGTCAGAATATCCACAAGCACTCAAGCTGCCTCTTTTATCTTTGCATTAAAAGACAGGACAATAGCCAGGCATATGGTATTATTCTCTGACGTGGTATAAATACTATAATACCTGCCTATTAATATCCTTGAACAATAATTTGTTTATAAATAGCTATGCTTAGGCAAAAAGCTCAATAACTATTTTTTCCATTTATCTATTTGTTCAATGTTTGAGTATTTCATTGATTCAATGTGAGGGGTAATATGAAGATGAATAAGGGAATACTGCTGCAAAGTATTCTAGTATGGGGCATGAAGTTTACAGGTAACAATAACAGGACGCCTGTTGTAGTGCTTCAAGAGGGACATAAACACGTGACTAAGGGTTCAAAGAACAGAAAAATAACTACTTTGGCCACCATTATCTCTAATTCTCATAGCAACCATGCAGATTAAATATAAGCCTCAATTTAGAAATGAGAATGTAGAATTTCAAATTGATTATATCAGATTGGACAAACTAAATAATTAAGATTAGGAATGTCTTTAGACACACAGAAGTGAGACATTCAAGGTATAAGGGAGCACAAATCACGTCATGTGGTTGGAAAACAAGCTGCTGAGCAGCACAGGTTCTATGGGGAAAGGAGGTCAAGGAAACAGGCGAACACACAGAGGATGCCTGAAGGCCAAGCAGAGGGTCTAGACGTTTCTGCGTGGGTATGAGTGTTGCTGAGGGTTCCTGAGACCAGGAGTAGCAGGAGCATGAGTGTTGCTGAGGGTTCCTGAGACCAGGAGTAGCAGGAGCACCTCCTCAGCATAATCCAGCAAGGGCAGGTGAGATTAACAGAAAGACAGGCTAAGGCCATAGCAACTGTCAAAGCACAAGGTAAAAATAAAGATTTGAAATTGAACATATATAACAGGAAGACATATTTCTGTATAATTCAAGACTTTTTCATCAGATGTTAAGAAACCATCAGATGTTAAGAAACCATCAGATGTTCTTAAAACCTTGACAATTTTAGATATGTGTTTAATTCTGGCAAATATATCAGGTGTAAAATAATATATTTTTTAAAAAGTATGGTTCACTATTTTGAAATTTCAGTTTTAAAAGAGCAGTATTTTCTTACTGTAATTTGTCAATCAAAAAAGCCAAGAGCTGGTCAGGCATGATAGCTCACACCTGTAATCCTGGCACTTCGGGAGGCTGAGGTGGGTAGATGCTTGAGCTCAGGAGTTCAAGACCAGCCTGGGCAACACAGCGAGACCCCCCTATCTCTACAAAAAACGAACAAATAAATAAAAATTAGCTGAGAATGGTAGCATACACCTATAATCACAGCTACTCGGGAGGTTGAGGTGGGAGACGGCTGTTGAGCCTAGGAGGCAAAGGGTGCATGAGTCAAGATTATGGCACAGCACTCCAGACTGGGTGACAGACTGTCTCAAAAAAAAAAAAAAAAAAAAAAAAAAAAGCCAAGAGCTAACCAAATCACGAAGGGTTTCATCTAAAGAATTGGGATTTATGGAAATTTCAATGTTCTAAATTGAGGCAGCATATTGAAGTGTTGGTTCTATGTGTGTAGGCTCTAGACCCAACCCTAGGATTAAATCTTGGCTCTACGACTTCCTAGTTGTATGATCTTGGGCAATTATTTGAGCTTTCTCTCTGCCTTGGTTTCCTCGTCTTTAAAGTGGGAACATAATAGCACCTATCTCACAGGGTTGTAATTAAAGAACATAAACAGAACCTGCCACGTAATTAGTTGTTATTTTACCTTTTTTTTTTTTTTTTTGAGACAGAGTCTCGCTCTGTCACCAGGCTGGAGTGCAGTGGCGCGATCTCAGCTCACTGCAACCTCCACCTCTTAGGTTCAAGCGATTCTCCTGCTTCAGCCTCCAGAGTAGCCGGGACTACAGGCGCACACCACCATGCCCAGCTAATTTTAGTATTTTTAGTAGAGACAGGGTTTCACCATGTTGGCCAGGATGTTCTCAGTCTCTTGACCTTGTGATCTGCCCACCTCGGCCTCCCAAAGTGCTGGGATTATAGGCATGAGCCACCGCACTGGGCTTATTTTGTATTTGTAAATGTATACATTTATATTACATGTCAGCTATTATAATACATTCTTAATATATAAACATATTACAAATAACTGTTTTACTTTAGTAATCAAAACTCAAATATGGCACAATTAACTAAAGAAAGGTTAGTAAATAATGGATACACCTTGAAATGTGGAAAATTTTCAAAGGATAAAAACATGATATTATTTCAATCTGAGCTTCTTAGCATTTCTCTTCTGTGATGTATTCATCCTGCAATCTATCAGAACTTGATTTGTTCAAATGCCTACATCTTTAGCCAGATATACAAAAGAAACAGACTCCCAAAAAAGTTATATCTAATACCCTGAGTCTTCAAATGCTATTATAAAAAAGCCATTCGGCCAGCTGCAGTGGCTCACGCCTGTAATCTCAGCACTTTGGGAGGCCAAGGCAGGCGGATCACCCAAGGTCAGGAGTTTGAGACCAGCCTGACCAACATGGAGAAACCCCGTCTCTTCTAAGAATACAAAATTAGCCAGGCATGGTGGTGCATACCTATAATCCCAGCTATTTGGGAGGCCGAGGCAGGAAAATCGCTTGAACACAGGAGGCGGAGGTTGTAGTAAGCCGAGGTCATACTACTGGCACTCCAGCCTGGGAAACAAAAGCAAAACTCCGTCTCAAAAAATGAAAAATAAAAAAAAAGTCATTCAAGGCTGGGCGTGGTGGCTCACGCCTGTAATCCCAGCACTTTGGGAGGCAGAGGCAGGTGGATCACCAGGTCAGGAGATCAAGACCATCCTGGTTAATGCAGTGAAACCCATCTCTACTAAAATATACAAAAAATTAGCCAAGCATGGTGGTAGGTGCCTGTAGTCCCAGCTACTTGGGAGGCTGAGGCAGGAGAATGGCGTGAACCCGGGAGGTGAAGCTTGCAGTAAGCCGAGATCTCACCACTGTACTCCAGCCTGGGCGAGAGAGCGAGACTCCGCCTCAGAAAAAAAAAACAAAGCCTTTCACTTAGAAAAATTCCTAGGGCCTTACTTCAAAGCAGAAAAAAAAAAAAAAATTACAGCTAAGTCTTTATCAATGCTTTGCATTCTGTTCAAATCAGAACTCCTCTTTACTAAGACTTATACCTTTTACTAATGAAAACACAACTTTGGAGACAAGAAGGAATAGGTCCAAATCAGACAATTTACAAAAAAGCTTTAAGTCTTACCACGTGGCCAAGGTGAGCCTTGAGGTTGCCCAAAAGACTTTCTCTTATGGATGTAACTTGGTTTGGACATATATTTGACTTTTCCAGGTCGATTTATTAGAAAACTGTAACCGTGTTGATTCTCTCTATAGTAGAAATCACATAATTATTATATTCCTAGAATCTCATATCAGTGATAAACTTTAATATTTCAAAAAGCCTAAATTAAGCTGGGCACAGCAGCGCAGGCCTACAGCCCCAGCTCCTGGGGAGGGTGAGACAGGAGGATCACTGGAACCCAGAGGGTCAAGCTGTGGTGTGCCATGATTGCACCTGTGAATGCCACTGCACTCCAGCCTGGGTGACAGAGCAAGATCCTATTACTTTAAAGAAAAAAATGGACCAAAGTATAGCTCACATTATATTCACTTGATACTGCCTATTCTGTACCTCAGTGATACACTTAACATATAACTCTCAACAAATTATTCTTTGTATCTTATACCTCAAACTTCATTTTTTTCACAAAATTTTTTTGTGGTTATCTCACTCCCCATTTCAAATTATCCATATACTGGGCAGTTATATATGTATTTAATCCCTGCTTTATTCTAGAAAAGTCTCAATGGGATTCTTTGGTATTTGAAGTAAACTCCACAGTACACACACAAATGATCTGATTACATCTGGGTTTGTGTTGGTAGTATCTCCTCTAGGCTCTTAAATTATGTGATTATGTTTATAATTCTAATAATTCATTTTGTCAAAGGTGGTGATGCTTAACAACACTGTACTCCAATTCATGTTCACCTTATGATCACCAACAGATATCAATAGAACTTTGCATGTTTGTTGACCATGCGTAAGAAATTTTATACTTGGGTAGTTTTCTTCAGCATTCTATGTTTAATTAATTACTGCCTAATGAACTCACATATAACCCCTCTGTAGGTGATTAAAGTAAAATACATAATAGTAGCTACAGTTCAATGAGCATAACTGGGCAGGTCTGGGGTGGGTAGCAGAAAGGGAAGTGGTAAGCAGCTGGGGACTGGCTGTTTCTGCAAGACAGATGACAAACGGAAAAATAGGATGAGCAGTTAGGAGGCAAATTATGGAGGCAAATATTAACAACAACTAAATAAAACAGGACTGCACACATATTAAATTTCATACTTCTGGAATACCTAAATGCTCTGTAAGCTTAGTGAGAAATGTAACACAATTTCTGCCTTTTTCCTTGGTGATTATATCAATGTATAAAGACCTCATGATTATGAGACTACTTTTTTTCCTTCACTTTATCATCACAACTCTAAGCAGGGTAAATGCAAATGCACTGAACTTAGGTCACAAAAGTGCTACATTTCTTCTTATCAGGCCTGACATTATCTTGCCAAATGGCATGTCAAACCTTGTCTTACCCTCTTGGAGAAGGGCAGTGTTGATATCTGGAAGAGTGAGTAGGGCTGGGTTTGTTAGGCAATGGTTTCTGTGGTACAGCTGGTAGCTGTACTGACTCAGATAATAGTTCATTCATCAGACCGTATGCTTGTGAGATTCGACGACTGTAGTGTTCAGAGAGCAGCAATCTGTAGACAAAGAATTAAGCACCATTTACTAAGAGTCGCTTTCAGTTCATCTATCCAGAGGGAATATAGTGTTCGAAGATCACCTAGCATTTTCTTTTCTTTTCTTTTTTTTTTTGAGACAGAGTTTCACTCTTGTCACCCAGGCTGGATTGCAATGGCACGATCTCGGCTCACTGCAACCTCCGCCTCCTGGGTTCAAGCGATTCTCCTGCCTCAGCCTCCCAAGTAGCTGGGATTACAGGCACGGGGCCACCATGCCTGGCTAATTTCACTTAGCATTTTCTTTCTTCAATGCTTCTCACATCCTTCTATTCATCAGGTTTCTGAAAATGATTAGGTAGTATCATTAAAAGTACTTGTAGTTATGGTCTCTGGAGTATTTCCCAAATGCATGTAAATATCTGGGTTGGGAAAGGGAGAACAACAGAAATAAAAGTCATAAAAACTGAATGAAACACGTAATATTTGAAAGCAAATTTGAAAAAAGGCTAGTGAGTCTCATTATTTTCCTTGCAGTGATATCTTCCATAATTTTCTGTTTATTGACAAAAAAGAGACTATTGTGAAAACAGAATTCCTAAGGCATTAACCTATGCCTCAGGTAGTAAGGAAGTCAGAGAGAGTACACAGGGTTACAGCTACCAAACTCACCTGTCTTTTTCATGCTTCATCTTTTGTCTCAGCCTTATTTCCCTTGAAGTCATGTAAAGCTGCATAAGAAATATCCAGTTGGTTCATTATTGTTCAATCCAAATAATTAAACCATTAGACATAATTCTGTTATTGAGGAAACAGTACAAAACACTGTGGTGTTTGATGAAGCTTCCTACTGTAGCACAAAACATAAAAAAGTTAAATTAAAACATCATGTAATGAAAGTAAAAACCAAGTTAGGGAGGCGGCGGCGGGCGGATCACCTGAGTTCAGGAGTTCGTGACCAGCTTGGCCAACATGGTGAAACCTCATCTCTACTAAAAATACAAAAATTAGCCTGGTATGTGGCATACACCTGCAATCTCAGCTACCCAGGAGGCAGAGGCTGCAGTGAACTGAGATCGCGCCACTGCACTCCAGCCTGGGCGACGGAGCAAGACTCCATTTCAAAATAAAGAAAAATTTAATAAATGGAATGCAAAATCTATTTTCCTAGTTCAGTTAATATATTTTATTGAGTTAATTAGGAGAGAATCTTATTTGGCTGCACAAAAAATGTGAAGTAGGAACATTTTAGGTGGAAGCACCTATGCTTTGTACTCAATCTTGTAACTAACCTCACCAAGAGCCTGTTAATAAAGCTGAAATTAGACATTTAAAATCATTATTTTTATGTTTTAAAATGTTTATCAGAAACCTACTACAGTGAATTGACTGTGACTTGTAAACTCTTCAAGTTATACACCAGAAGGCAAACAACAAATGTCAGACACATACATATTATTCCAGAACATTAAGAACTATTGGTGTGAGTTACATGTGAGGTTCTTTTCACACACAATTATGTATATAAAAATGGACACTCAGAAGTAAACGCACTTTTTCAAGGTCCTGTAGAGAAGTAGTCACTAACAAATTAAAGGTCTTGTTGATTTCTAATAGAAATTCAAATGAAAATTTTAATTACATTAATACCTCACTAATCCCATCCAAACTTACCCAAATAGAAGTTAAAAAACAAAACAAAAAATGTCTGCAATCTTGAATGAGACCACAAAATCTATGAACCAAGCAGTTCTTAAACCCTTAGAGTTTACTTATTTTGAGACAAGAGCTCACTCTGTTGCCCAGGCAGGAGTGCAGTGGCATGATCACAACTCACTTTAATCTCCAACTCCTGGACGTAAGTGATCTTCTCACCTCCAGTAGTTAGGACTACAGGTGTGTGCCACTACATCTGGCTAATTTTCATTTTCTTACTTTTTATTTTTTATTTTTTTAGAGACGAGGTCTTACTATGTTGCCTAGGCTGGTCTTGAACTCCTGGCCTCAGGTGATCCTCCTATCTCGGACTCCCAAAGTGCTGGGATTACAGACATGAGCCACTATTCCTGGCCAATTTATTCTAAATTTGGACACAATTCTAACCATCTTGGGTATTTACTTCCCTGACAGCGAGAAGGTAATGTCAGAACCCATTCTACATTAGGGTGGGGGAACACGCGCGCGCGCACACACACACACACACATTCTTCTCTCAAATACACATGTACACACTTTAAGATTCTGTTCATGTACCTCAGTAGCCCTGAAGGCCACTGTCATGTCTCCTGGGCTATCAAGAAAATGTTATGTTAACACCAATATACTCTTTTCAGAGACAGGTAAGTAAATTGCACTTTAAACAATAGTTCACCTACTTTTGCACCATTTGGTGTTTTAATGGAACAGTTTATCTGGAAAATTCACCAAAATAATTTGTTATCCTAATGATGCTGAAAAAATGAAGGGATATTGTATTTTATTTCAGATTACAAAGTAAAAGATAAACTGTAATCTAAATGTAATTTTCATAGTAATGTGACTATCAAAGTAACAGTGCTTTGTTTTACCATCTGAAAAAAAATATACCTGACCTGGCTATGGTGATGTCTGTATTTAGGGCTCAGTAAATAAATGCTGACAGTTTTAAAGACAGTTAAAAAAACAAAAACCACACACACAGAAGTGACATTGTTCTGTTGATACATGACAATTTTTTTTGTATTTTTTGTAGGTAACTTATTAACAGAAAATTAAGGGGCTTTTTATTTGTTAGCTTTTGCTTTATTTGTAGACACAGGGTCACCCTTTGTCTCCCAGGCTGGAGTGCAGTGGTGTGATCATAGCTCAATACAGTCTCAAACTTGTGGGCTCAAATGATCCTCCTGCCTCAGCCTCTAGAGTAGCTGGGACTACAAGTGTGTGCTACCACACCTGGCTAATTTCTTTTTTTTTTTTTTTGGTAGAGATGAGGTCTCACGATGTTGCCCAGGATGCTCTCAACTCTTGGTCAAAAGTGATCCTCTCACTTTGGTCTCCCAAAGTGCTGGGATTATAAGCATGAGCCACCATGCTGAGCCTCAAAGTTTTCTAAGCAAGTAAATTTTATAAACTAAGTAAGGGAGCAGGCATAGAAAAGTGAGTTTTTAAAATGGCTTTAATACACATAGTCAGTTGTTTCAACTGTCAATGACTCTCACTGAAAATTAAAGGAACAACTCCAATTGGTCACCCAATTACTCAACCTCTTCCTCTTGTTAAAATGCTACAGCCATCATTAGCCTGGGGGACAAAAAAACATTTAAGATAATTCAGTATAACTTGGTTAGCACAATATCCTGTAACGTTTTAAGGTAATTAACTTTTCCTGACTTAAGTAAAACATTTACTTTTCTATATGCCAAATTAAAAATGTATCCAAATTATGTTAATCTTTTTCTTAAAATTTTGCCAGGAAAGTAATTACACGTATTCTATAATTCCATTGCCCTTGACACTGCAGACTTACTGGATTGCTTCTGGGACAGAAAGGATCATGTTCTTGCCCTCTCTTTTCTGCCAGCTCATTTAAGTACTTTGCCATTCTTTCTTTTCGTTTTCTTTTCATCCAGGCTTGAATCTCTCTTCTTTCCTTGTCAGTTCTTTGTGAATGTCTGCCAGAAGAATGCTGAATTCTGAGAAATTTAACAAGTAAGACATCATTTGCTTTTAAATTTGTTATGCAGATAAGATATATCATGACTAAACACTATTTATCTGGAAATATTTTGCCCCATCTTCAAAAGCAGTATATACTTATGTTCTCTAGTCAACTCACTCCCATTTGTTACCTGAACTCCACTGAAAAGGGACTCAGAAAGCTAACAACTTCTTTACAACATTTGCCTTAAACTCTTTTCCCTTCTTCTTTAAACTCTATCTTACTGGATCTTTTCCTAACTCTCAGAAAACTATATAGCCTCCTGCATTGGCTCCTTTCTTGTCTGCTCACTGCTTCAAAACTAATGTCTTAAAGATTCTCCTTTTGACTTTTTTTTTTAACTTTTTAATTTTGTGGGTACATAGTAGATGTATATATTTATAAGGTACATGAGATATTTTGATACAGGTACGCAATGCATAATAATCACATCATGTAAAATGGGGAGGTTTTCACTTCTTCATCTATTAATATAACTTATTCCCTGTACTATTTCTATCAAATTTCAAAACTTCTAATACAGGGCTGGGCTCAGTGGCTCACACCTGTAATCCCAGAACTCTGGGAGGCCAAGGCAGGTGGACTGCTTTAGCCCAGGAGCTCAAGGCCAGCCTGGGCAAGATGATGAGATGCCATCTCTATAAAAAAGAAAAAAAAAATTTGCCAGGTTGAATGGCACATGCCTGTAGTCCCAGCTACTCAGGAGACTGAGGTGGGTGGGAGGATCACTTGAGCCTGGGAGGTCGAAGCTGCAGTGAGCAGTGATCGTGCCACTGCATTCCAGCCTGGGTGACAAAGGAAGACTGTCTCAAAAAAACAAAACAATTGCAACACAGAGGTGACTTCCAACACCTGCCCTTCTGGATCTACTCCCATGCTTAGGTTCATGTCACACTTTCCATGGTCTGGCCCAAATTAATGGACTAAGCATGGCAGGGATACTGTGAAAGGCCCATTCCTGCAAGACACAGGTGACTCTGTGGGTGACTTGGCCTGAGGTCTTACCATTGACCCAGTTGAAACATTCTTAAAACTACACAGTGCACTAAGACTCTGTCTCCCCTACCCTCTTTCCCTCTCCTTTACAGGGAGGGCTGAGAGCTGCATCGTAGTCTGATGCTTCTCCTTACTTCTTCCCTGCATTCTGCTATCCTCTCACAAGCATTTTCCCCAGTAAATCTCTTCTGCAGCTAAACCGACCTTAGCTTCTTGGAGGATCTGAACTAACATACATGTACTAGGAGTGGTCTGAGAAAATGGGTGGTGCAAAATGGGGATTTGGGGCCAGGTGCAGTGGCATGCACCTGTCATCCCAGCTACTTGGGAGGCTGAAGTGGGACAATCATGAGTTCAAGCCCAGTTTGGGCAAAATAGCAAACCTCTGTCTCCAAAAAATAAAATTTTAAAAAGTTTCTGTTTTAAAAGATGGGGACTTGGACAGATGCATCACCCAGTGATTGAAGAAGACACCCTCCTAAACAGAAGACTAGTCACAAATACAAACAATATATTTTATTCTGAATATCTGCTTTCCTTTTGAGACTCTGGAATCTTTACACATGGCAGGCAGTATCCCCCCTGTAAAACCCCAGGCATGGAGTTTCTAATGGGCTTGCCTGGTAGACATTTCACACATGTTGTCACAACTTGTTACTGGAGGATTTAAGTGCATTCTGTGCGACTCCACTGGGAAAAGACTCTTGGAAGTTTGTGCCTGATTTCCCCTGGAATTTACTCCATGTACCTTTTGCCTCCTGTTAGGATAAATCATAGCCATGAAAATGACTATTTGCTGAGTTCTGTGCATCCTCCTAGGTGATTTCTGAACCTGGGGGTGATCTTGGGGACCCCCAGCAGAGGGTCAAATCTACATCAACACTGCAGTCTGATAGTTTTCCCCAATTTTATGGCATCCTCCCTTTTTCCTTCACAGGCATTTCTCCAAATAAATCTCTTGCTCATCAAAATCCCATCTGCTTTGCAGAGGACTTAAAACTAATATACCACTGAATATTACCACTCGATGGTTTTCTGCCACCTTATATCTAAAACTGTATTCTCTTTTTTATTTATTTATTTTTTTGAGATGGAGTTTCGTTCTTGTTGCCCAGGCTGGAGTGCAATGGCACGATCTCCGCTCACTGCAACCTCTGCCTCCCAGGCTTAAGCGATTCTCCTGCCTCAGACTCCTGAGTAGCTGAGATTACAGACTCGCAGCACCATGCCCAGCTTTTTGTATTTTTAGTAGAAACGGGTTTTCACCATGTTAGCCAGGCTGGTCTCGAACTCCTGATCTCAGGTGATCCGCCCACCTCAGCCTCCCAAAATGCTGGGATTACAGGAGTGAGCCACTGAGCCCAGCCATTATTTAATTAAATTAATTTATTTAATTACTTATTTGTGTTTTTGAAACCTAGTCTCTACCAAAACTGTAAAAACTAGCTGGATGCAGTGGCACACACCTGTAGTCCCAACTACTTGCAGGCTAAGGTGGGAGAATCACCTAAACCTGGGGAGGTTGAGGCTGCAGTAAGCCATGATTGTGCCACTGCACCCCAGCCTGGGTGACAGACTGAGACCCTGTCTCAAAAAACAAATAAACAAACAAAAGATATATTATGTCCTTCTCAGGGAAGGAAGCAAAATTAACAGAATGCAGGATTTAAAAGATATTTGTATTTAAAAAAATTTTTTTTTGAGATTGGGTTATGAGGCTGGCTAATTTTTATATTTTTGGTAGAGATTGGTTTTCCCTGTGTTGCCCCTGCATTCTTTATCCTGCTAAAGAAATCACCATCAACTCAGTCACCCAAGTAGAAAAGCTGTCATTCTTACCACCTGATAGCCTCCAAATGTTTACTTACACCTATTACCCTACACTCTTCATTCTGATCACCTCATCTCTAAACTACTGAAATAACTCTTCTAACTGGCTCTAATTTCCATCTTAAAGCCCTGTGCTGCATGCAGATGGTGCCACCTGGCGCTTAAGGACCTGCATGCATGTATTACTGCTGAAAGAAATCATAGATAACAAAACAAATGGAAACGCATCCCATGCTCATTGATGGGTAGAATCAATATTGTGAAAATGACCATATTGCCAAAAGTAATCTACAAATCAAAATACCACCATAAGGGCCAGGTACGGTGGCTCACACCTGTAATCCCAGCACTTTGGGAGGCCGAGGCGGGTGGATCACCTAAGGTCAGGAGTTCAAGATCAGCCTGGCCAACATGGAAAAATCCCATCTTTATTAAAAATGAACAAATTAGCCGGGTGTGGTGGTGCGGACCTGTAATCCCAGCTACTAGGGAGGCTGAGGCAGAAAAATTGCTTGAACCCAGGAGGCAGAGGTTGCAGTGAGCTGAGATTGTGCCACTGCACTCCAGCCTGGGCAACAAAGTGAGACTCTGTAAAAAAACAAAAACAAAAACAAAAACAAAACAACAACAACAGAAAAACCCCCATCATCATTCTTCACAGAACTAGAAAAGACAATCCTAAAATTCATATGGAACCAAAAAAAGAGCCTGTATAGCCAAAGCAAGACAAAGCAAAAAGAATAAATCTGGAGGCATCACATTATGACTTCAAACTATAAGGCCATAGTCACCAAAACAGCACGGTACTGGTATAAAAATAGGCACGCAGACCAATGGAACAGAATAGAGAACCCAGAAATAAACCCAAATACTATAGCCAACTGATCTTCGACAAAGCAAACAAAAACATAAAGGGGGAAGGACACTCTATTCAACAAATGGTGCTGGGATAATTGGCAAGCCACATGTAGAAGAATAAAACTGGATCCTCATCTCTCACCTTATACAAAAATCAACTCAAGATGTATCAAGGACTTAAATCTAAGACCTGAAACCATAAAAATTCTAGAAGATAACACAGGAAAAATCTTTCTAGACAGTGGCTTACACAAAGGCTTCATGACCAAGAATCTAAAAGCAAATGCAACAAAAACAATGATAAATAGGTGGAACTGGCCGGGTGCGGTGGTTCACGCCTGTAATCCCAGCACTTTGGGAGGCCGAGACGGGTGGATCACGAGGTCAGGGGATCGAGACCAGCCTGGCTAACACGGTGAAACCCCGTCTCTACCAAAAAAATACAAAAAACTAGCCGGACGAGGTGGCGGGCACCTGTAGTTCCAGCTACTTGGGAGGCTGAGGCAGGAGAATGGCGTAGACCAGGGAGGCGGAGCTTGCAGTGAGCTGAGATCCGGCCACTGCACTCCAGTCTGGGCAACAGAGCAAGACTCTGTCTCAAAAAAAAAAAGAAAAAAATAGGTGGAACTTAAACTAAAAAGTTTCTGCACAGCAAAAGAAACAATCAGCAAAGTAAACAGACAACTCACAGGGTGAGAGAAAATCTTCACAATCTATACATCTGACAAAGAACTAATACCCAGAATATACAAAGAACTCAAATAAATAAGCAAGAAAAAAAAAATCCCATCAAAACAATAGAGTTAAGGCATGAAGAGACAATTCACAAAAGAAGATATACAAATGGCCAACAATCATGTGAAAAAATGCTCAACATCACTAATGATCAGGGAAATGCAAATAAAAACCACAATGCGATACCATCTTACTTCTGTAAGAATGAACATAATTAAAACATCAAAAAACAATAGATGTTGGCAGCGATGTGGTTAAAAGGGAACACTCCTACACTGCTGGTGCGAATGTAAACTAATACAACCACTATGGAAAACAGTGTGGATGTTCCTTAAAGAACTAAAAGTAGAACTACCATTTGATCCAGCAATCCCACTACTGGATATCTACCCAGAGGAAAAGAAGTCATTATATGAAAAAGATACTTGCACACACGTTTATAGCAGCACAATTCACAATTGCAAAAATATGGAACCAGCCCAAATGCCCATCAAGCAATGAGTGGATAAAGAAATTGTGGTACACATATACACCATGTCATACTATTCAGCCACCAAAAGGAATGAAATAATGGCATTCGCAGCAACCTGGATAGAATTGGAGACCATTATTCTAAGTGAAATAACACAGGAATGGAAAATCAAATGTCGTATGCTCTCACTCATAAGCTATGAGGAGACAAAGGCCTAAGAATGATACAATGGACTTCAGGGACTTGGGAGAAAGGGTGGGAGGTGGGTGAGGAATAAAGACTACAAATTGGGTACAGTATATACTGTTGAGGTTGATGGGTGCACCAAATCTCACAAATTACCACTGAAGAACTTACTCATGTAACCAAATACCACCTGTTCCCCCAAAACCTACGGAAATTAATTTAAAAAAAAAAAAAAAAAAAAAGAACCTGCACATACACATCAAAGACAATGGCCAAGAACAAATTAAGGGGGCAGAAGTCCAGGAACGTATTTCACATTGCCAGACACAACAACTTTAAGGCTAAAAACAAAGCAAAGCCAGTTACCACTAACCTGTCTTCTTTTTTTTTTTTTTTTTGGTGAGATGGAGATTTACTCTTGTTGCCCAGGCTGGAGTGCAATGGC